TGTACATGGCAGAGGGGCATTGCTGGCACATGATGGCATATATCACATTGGCAGATGTGCAGGTGAACGAGCCCCTGATGGTATGGCTGATGTGATTAGGTCCTATGATGATGTCAATATATGTTCCATTCTATATGCATCCGAAGAAGTGGCTGTAGTCCACGAAAGCTTATGCTCTAATAAATTTGTTAGTCTCTAAGGTGCCACAAGTCCTCCTGTTCTTCTTTTTACACATAGCCAGTGTGACAAATAGTCTATATTGTGGTAAGCCTGCTTTCAATTACTATCCCTTTCCGACACGTTCCCACACTAGCATGGGATATTAGATATCAAAGCAGAGTAATGGAGAACGGAATACTTTGCGAGGCCTCTAGGAACAGATACCACAGACAGAAGTGGAGAGCACAGACGTGTCCCATTTCCATTTCAGCATTAAATTCTCCCAATGTTTTGGAGAAAGTAAGTAATGGTCAAGTTGACAGAGGGCCAACATAGAATCACAGAATATCAAGGCTGGAAGGGACCTCAGGAGGATTCAGCCCTTGTCATTTAAGCAAAAATTCATAAATATAAACAGTAAACATAAATATAAACATAAACAGTATGCACGTTTCCCCATATAGCTCTCCCACTGTGCCTCAACCGCGATCAATACAACTACTAGCTCAGTCCCAGTCACACTGTGTGGTAAGGCTTATTTTTTTTTAATGGATGAAGAGGAAAAGTGTGACAATCAGGTGTGCAGAAGTAAATTAACCCATTGAGCGCCTTGTATTCAGTCTTAACATCTCTCCTTTGCCTGCAGCTGACTCACCTGCTCCTTGTGCTGTAGAATCGAAGTCCAAGCACACAGTCTATCCTTCAAAAGCGGTGCCATGCTGACTGCAGTCAGGCCCCGCAGATACTGTATTATCCAACCCAACATGGAGGCCATACCTTACCTTCATGTTCCACTCCAGGTACAGACAGATCTTCTGTTCCTTGCCAGAGGATTTTCCCCGTCTCTGCATCCCGAAGGTTCATCCAATTTCTGATTGGGAGGTGATTAAGGAAAACAAACTGTGCTTTTAGACTCTGTGCCCATCAGTCTTTGCCTAGCACTGAAATAGGCTACTCAGAATTAAGCAGGAGTTACACTAAAACCTTACTGTGACATGCCATGTATTTGGAGCTACGGCATCAAGGAGGGGAGATGTCCCTCTCATGGTTTAAAAACAAACCAACATTAGACCAGAGTCAACACAACAAGCAAAGGGCATCCACTCATTAAGTTTTCCCTTAAAACTGATGCTCTTTGGCCTGGTTGACTATATTCTACTTATGTCTACTGGATCAGGCAGACATCACCGTACTGCAGGGAAGCAAGCACCAGCATTAGCATCTATAGCAGATAATTCTATAATACAATTCCTCACCACCATGCCCCCACCTCTCAAGAGGAATGGGAAAAGGAGAAACATAAGAGAAACACAGCGCACGTGTCACTAGAGAAAGAATGTTGGATCAATTTTCCTGATCTGCAGAGTGTGGTAAAGAGCGATGTTCTAACATTTTTGGCACAAGTAACTCTCATATTAACCCAAATTCTCTAAGAACAGCACAGCCCTGGTGGAGTTTCCCCGAGGAACAAGAGCTAAACACACCCAGTAAGAGTGAGTAGGGGGTAAGTTTGTAAGTGTTAGGTACCAGACTTCTACTGGTATGGATTGATGTAATACTCATGAAAGTTATATAGGAGTGTGGAATACAGACACTTTCAAAGGCACAAATAGCAATTAACCTAA